GAATCCGCGGCCCGGGACCTGGGCAGCGTCGAGTGGGCGCAGCTGGCCAGATGTGCGGCCACCTGCGGCCTCGGGGAATCAGCTGCTGCAGGCACGGGGCTGGGTCACACCAACTTCCTTCAGATCTCTGTATTTTCCGTTTGTGTTAGCATTCACACGGCATAAGCTTTACCCCGTGGCAAACTGGACATAAGCTCCAGGCCCAGCCGTCGGTCACTGTGGGCAGCAAGCTGTCCTCTTCTGGCAACATGCCGGCACGCTAGCGCACTGCAAGTCCCGGAGAAGGAGGTGGTGCGGACAGTGTGAAGCCCTCAGTCCCATAGATCTCTGTATTTTCCGTTTGTGTTAGCATTCACACGGCATAAGCTTTACCCCGTGGCAAACTGGACATAAGCTCCAGGCCCAGCCGTCGGTCACTGTGGGCAGCAAGCTGTCCTCTTCTGGCAACATGCCGGCACGCTAGCGCACTGCAAGTCCCGGAGAAGGAGGTGGTGCGGACAGTGTGAAGCCCTCAGTCCCATAGACCTGAATTCTCTCAAGCAGGTACAGGGGTAATGCAGGAAACCAGCCTGCTGAAAAAGAATACCTAACAGGAGGGTACAAATGGAGATTTAAGAGGAGACACAGAAGATTTTTGAATGACAAAGAGCCCTCGGCTCACTTCAGTTTTTCTCAATTTAGGCGAGGGAGCAAGCAATAAGGTTAATGGAATTGTGTCGCTTACCACTGAGCTCCACCTCCAGCCTTTAGCTACCAAGAATGACACAGCTTCAAGTGTGAGTGTACAAATACCCGTTTGAGTCTCGGCTCTCCATTCTTCCGGATGCATACCGAGGAGTCCCACTGCTGGGTCGTGTGGTAACGGTGTGCTTTGTTTTCTGAGCCCTTCTCACACTGTCTCCCATGGTGATGGTACACGTTTACGTTCCTGTTAGTAACGCAGATCCTGGATTCCATCCCCAGTGCTAACAACCAAAACAACAACAAAAGCAAATTCTCACATCCCATGCTCGTTTTTCTGTGTGTTCTTAGGCATTTTGAGACATTCTACACACAGACCCCTGTCTCCGTCTACGGCTTGTCTTATAGGTTGCATAGCATGTTTCTTGCCATAGAGAAGACTTATTTATTTATTTATGCAGAGCTGGGGCTTGAACCCACAGCCTCCTGCGTGCAAAGCTGAGCTGTAGCCCAGACCTTGATTTTTATTTTAGATTTTTTTTTTTTTTTTTTTGGTACCGGGGATCGAACTCAGGTCCTTGTGCTTGCAAGGCAGGCACCGGGACCACTGAGTTAAATCCCAGGCCCCGTGATTTTTCATTTTAATGAAAAGTTGTATCTTTTCATTTATTGATTTGTTTCCTTGTTTGTTGGTGTGAGACAGGGTCTCACTGTGTATGCCAGGTTGGCCTCGAACTTGCAGTGATCCTCTTGCCTCAGCCTCTGGAGTGCCCCGGGCTGAGAGGCCTTTGTGCTCTGCACACTTCCCGCCTTGTGAAGAGAACTTTCCCTGGTTCCAACAGCACACAGCTTGCCCAGTTCCTTCCCCCACCCCACCACTAGCATCATTGTTTCCCTGATCCCAGTTCATCTGGAATTTATTTGCAGGCTGCTTCACAATAGCGATCGGCTTTATTTCTTCCATACGGATGGCCTTGTCTCCCACCGGATGATGGCAGAGTGGCTCAGTCTCCTCCCCCCGGAACACCCCATGCCCAGCTCCTGGGCCTGGCTCGAGCCAGTCCCGCTGTTGTGCTTTTCTCTGGGACTGCTGTAGAGGAGCTGGTGAAAGCACTGCCGGCCAGAAGTGGAGCTCAGGCAAGGTTTTATCTTCCTTTCTCTCTTTCTCAAAGAGAGCCTGCCTGACAGCCAGAATCCCCTTAGCAGGCCCAGGCCCCAGGCCCCAGTCTCTGGCCTCCAGACTCTGGGCCTTCGAGGCTGCCAGGGAGATCACAGCCACCCCTGGAGGCTCTGGTGATGTTGCCTTTGCAGGAAGGCTTAGGGGTGGGGCTGGAGTACTCAGCTCCTATAGCGTGGCTCCTGCAGGGCTGGCATCAGCGGCTGGCCAGGATCTGGAGTCTCCTGGGTGACTCAGACCTGACATTAAACCTGCCTGACTCCTGTGAGTCTGGCAGGACTCAGTTTCTTGCCTTCGTTCATTTGTTTGTTGTTTATTTATTTATTTGAGGCAAGTTCTCACTATGTAGCTCAGGCTGGCCTTGAACACAAAGAGATCCTCCTGCCTCAGGCTCCCAAGTGCTGGGATGACGGACATGCGCCCCTTTGCCCAGCTGTCACAGCTACCTTGCAGTCCATCTGGCTTCCATGGTGATTCCGTGTATTGTTTTTACATGTCCAAAGAACATTATCCAGCAAACTGTCAAGGTGTCTCTGGTTTGAAAAGGCCAAGAAGCCCTGTCACAAAGGAGACAGGGGACCCAGCTTCCCAGAGCACAGCAGATGCCTCTGTGTGGGACACAGAGAGGAGGGGACAGGGACAGAGGTGGCTGGAGCTACTGGGATGCAGTCTGGGGTGCAGGGATTAACTGCCAGAAGGGAACCTCCCCACAGGGAAGGGGCTGAATGCGGAGGCAGACAGCACCAGGAGCAGAGGGTGCTTGGCCTGGTGGCTTCTATTTTCTGGGCCAGTGGGTGTGAGGAGGGAGAGGTCTCAGGGCCCTGGGTGCAGCCAGCTGAGGTGTCCTGGCCGTGCCGGAGGACAGTGCTGAATGCCCTGGACAGAGGTAGAGGGCGACAGGGGCCAGTTCCAGTGGTCCAGGAGGTGAAGGAGTGAAGATCAAGGGGGGAAAGTGAGCAGAGCAGGAAGACTAGTCAGTCAGGAGAGGAGACTGGGAGAAGGAGGAGGAGGCGGGGAGACAGAGGCCAGTGGACCTAGCTGGCCCTTGTGACACACACTTGTCATCCCTGTGCTCTGGGACACTGAGGCAGGAGGATCTCGACTTTGAGTCCAGCCTGGACAATTTAGGGACTTAGTAGGACCCTGTCTCAAAACTAAAATAGAGGCTGGGGCATGTAGCTCAGAGCCAAGGCTGTAGAGTGCTTGCCTGGTGCGCACAAAACCCTGGGTTTGGTTCTCAGTTTCAGTGCCCCGCTGCCCCCGAGACACACACACACACTCACATAAGGACCCAGGTGAAATCGCACGTATGTGTTAAGTGTGTGTTACACGTGTACACATGCATATCCTGCCTCTCGGCTTCCTCCTCCTGCAGCCTCAATGGTCTCAGACGCTCTTGGAGTCCTGCTGGAGCTATCCTCCAGCTCGGTGAGGAGCGGATACCAGGGAGCCCTGGGGAGACCGTGATCCTGCCCTCTCCTCGCTCAGAGAGCTCAGGCTGCTGGTCACTTCCTGTACTCACCGGAAGTCGAGAGTCCTCCGGGGTGGGATCAGCGTGTCTTCATCTCACCTTCCCCATTCCACAGCTCCCACCTTCGGTGCCTGACTAGAAATGTTGCGGGGGACAGAAAAAATATGTCACACTCTGGTGGCCTTTGCTTTGGTAATGCAGGCCCCACTCTCGCTGAACAAGTAACTGGCATATACCAAAAGAAGACAGAAAGAAAGGAAAAGCTGCAGAACTTCTAGGTAAGTTTAGAAGGTTATAGGGTATAAAGTCCGTATGTATGTAACAATTTGCATTTTGTTTGTTTTTTTTGTGTGTGTTTTGTTTTGTGTGGTTTTTTTTTGGTACTGGGGATCGAACTGGAGTCCATGCGCTTGCGAGGCAGGTGGCAGAACAACTAAGCTAAATCCCCGGCCCGTTTGTTTTTTTGAGACAGGGACTCACTATATACTTCAGGCTGGCCTCAAACTCTCAGGGATCCTTGTGCCTCAGCCTCCTGAGGTGGGATTACAGGTGTGTGACACCAGGCCCGGTTCCCCTGTTCCACCTTTGTAGTTTAGACTATGGAAAATTGAACTCACAGAGGGACACTCATTCCGTGGACCCTGAGCACCCACGCTGGGGGACACCCTGCTGATCCAGTGGCTGGGCCTTGTGAGACTGCTTAGTTGTGCAGAAGTAGAGGCAGCTGTAGAGGACGTCAGTGCCAGTGGACAGAAAATGCCATAGCCTCTGAGGAGGACGCTGTTACCCTGGAGACAGGGTCTGGCCATGAAGGTGGCAGTGTTCTCTGAAGTGTCCTCCTGAGGACTGGCTCTAGGAGGCCCCAGACACTGATGTGGACGGGCATGAGGGTGAAGGCAGTGAAGGGACAGAGCAACAGACGGGCAGAGGATGAACAGAGGCACAGGGGCAGCCCAATGGACCCAGTTCTCTTTTTTTTTTGGACGGGGTCTTGCTCTGCAGTTCAGGCTGCCTTGAACTTACTTGTGGCAATCCTCCTGCCTCAGCCTCCAAAGTACTGGGATGACAGGTGTGTACCACCATGCCCAGCTTGACCCAGTCCTTTCCATCTGCTGTTTCAAGGGGACAAGGTGAGCACCTGCATCACTGCTTGCCCGGGCCAGGTTCATGGGTGGGGCATGTGGGGCAGTGCAGAGGAGTGGTGGCCTTCTTATTTGTGATGAGCTTGTGCCTGAGGCTGGAGGACAGGGGACACCAG